GCGTCGCGGTATTTCCAAATACAAACAACAGTCGCGTGAAATTCCCTTGTCGTCGTGTAAACGACAATTGGATTCGGCCAGCACTGTGAGCACGAGAGCATCGATTATTTTGGCTGTTGGTGATGGATTTTTCGGAGCAGACCCATTCTCACAATGGTGGAGTTCCGTTCACTGTGATCGAGAATTTCCATAAGCGCCAAGAAAGTTGCTGTAATAGCAACGGTCGGCAGTCTTTTTAACGGAGAAGCTTCAACGGTGTAGTCGACCGTGACGATTCTACGATCTTGTTCTTGCCTTGTTTCGTTCCAGATCGTTTAAAATGTCGAACGAGTTGAGAACGAGGTTACACGTGGTTACGGTGAATTATTGTCTGAACAATACTTTTACGAATTCAACGTAGTTCGAGATTTATTTTGTCATGAAAAGTAGGGAAAGAGGAGAAAGGGCGAGAATGTTCTCCAAACTTTTAGTAAGACAATCTAGCAAATTTAAGTCTTTTTTGTCGCGAACCACGCGAGTGTCATTCCCTGTCATGTGTAATATATATTTGGAATTGAAGAGCACTCGTGGAAAGCATCGAGTAAATTTCTCAGTACAAATTAATCTCTTAGCTGTGAATGACGAACATACTTGTTACGAAGAAGTGGCAATTTTTCTAGAAAAATAATTACAATCTCTTGCTTCGGTTAAAATTTTCGTGGAAGATAAAACATATTTGTAAATTTTAGACATTTTAGAGTATTTTGAGATTAGAGACTTGATCAGTTCTTTTTACATCATTTCCAAATATTTTCTTGATATTAACATTGATCGTTATTAATTAATATTAATTAAGTTATATCAATATATTACATATTATCAATTAATATATTACCACATTAATTAATATTAATTAAGTTATATCAATATATTATATATTATTAATTAATATATTATAATAATAATAATTAATATTAATTAAGTTATATCAATATATTATATATTATTAATTAATATATTATTATATTAATTAATATTAATTAAGTTATATCAATATATTATACATTATTAATTAATATATTATAATAATAATAATTAATATTAATTAAGTTATATCAATATGTTATATATTATTAATTAATATTAATTAAGTTAGACAATAAAATTATTGATTTTTCAAAAAAAAAAATCTAATGTTATTTCTTTATAATTTAATTTTAGCTGCACATACTGTGTGTGTGACGAGTATAATCGTCATCGCGCCATTCTAGCGATACAATATAGACATACACTTTTAAAAGCAGCGCCACAGCTAAGAGATTAATATACTCATGTACATATGTTTAATACATCCTACTCGAAGGCAAAAGGAATATATTGAAAAAAAAAACATATTTATTAATTTAGGAACAAGCAGAGTTAGCCCATTACAGTGCTCGTAAAGGTAAATGGACGGGTTTTCTCTTTTGCTCCTAAAAAATTTGATGTCTGGCACTTGTAGTGATGAATAACACTCGCATGGTTCGCAGTACAAAAGAAGCTCATCGCTCTTGATGTAAAGCTTGCTAGGTTCTTCTGACGCGACTACTAAGTAAATATCTTCCTTTTCTCTCCCTTTTCTCTTTTGCAATAAAATAAAATTCGAACCAGGTGGCATTAGTGAATATATACTAGCTATTAATAATTTCCGAATGTTTCCTAAAAGTGTTCTTCGGTTAGGAAAGTGTGGATGAAAACTGTGTAATTTTAATGGTTTACAACGTAATTACGCTGTGAGCTTCACACGAAGCGAGAGTTGCAAAGTGCAGGAGTTAAATGGATATGGAGATGATCACTTCCCCACGGCTTCGCCAAACATAGGGTCACACGAGATCCACTAAGGTTGCTATTCATTCACTGTTACTTTAGGTTCTAGAATAGCAAAGGCCAAGTCAGAAGTTACACACACGTAGGAACAGATAGTAGAATGGATGCTTAGGAGAATTATTCTTTGTGAAAGTTCCTCCGATAGCTGTTACAATCAGGCATCGAAGCAATTAGGGAGCTTCTATTTGAAACGTGGAAAATGTTTCGAAAAATGTTTCTACATTGCAAGTCCTGAAGAAAACAGATAAGCAAAAGTTTCAGACAGAACAGAACTTACAAGACGTGGAAACAGACATTTTTCTTTCTTTAATATTATTAAAATTATTAATATTAATGCAATATTGAAAGTTTGTAATATTAAGATATTAATATTAATGCAATATTGAAAGTTTGTAATATTAAGATATTAATATTAATGCAATATTGAAAGTTTGTAATATTAAAATATTAATATTAATGCAATATTGAAAGTTTAATATAAAATTAAAAAAAATTATGAAATGAAGTTTAATATAAATATATAATTATTGAAAGTTTAATATAAAAAGTTTTCAATATTTATAGTAAATACTGACAATGAACAGTATTCGAATGCGGAAATGAATTTTTAATTGTTCTAAAGTAACTTGTTCCCAAAAAAAACTTTTGTTCCACGAGAACACTACTCAAAATTCAACTTCTTTTTATAAAAATTCTACACGAACAGATATTTCTTTTTTTTTTTTTTCATACGAAATACGGAGAAAAACAAGAATTTTTGTAAAAACGAAAAGAACAACCTGTCAATTTCGATCCTTGATTATAACACAGAAAAGTTATCGAACGAAAGACAAAACACGAGGAGGTAGAAAAAAGAATTTTATATTTGTAATATATCGGGATGACACCGAGTTCTTTACTTTTGCTCGGAACGGAAACGAGGTAAAAGATCAACGTAACGTGGAAATTGTGTATTGATAGAATCGCGAGTCGGACGTTACCGAATTTGCGCGAGACCGTCGTTTCTTCGATACTTACATGTTCGATAATTTCGACTTGTTAATTTCACAATTTCGTCATCGTTTCTTCGTTGAACGGTGACTTTTTCGCCGACGATGAAATCTTTGTGATTTCATCGATCCTGGATTAACGAGCTCGTAAATCTTAAAGTAGCCTTCTTTGAAGGAAATTTATTTCATTTGCGAAACCGGTTGGCAAATACTGCTTCTGTCACGCGACTCGTTGCTGTTACATTTAGGTATATTTTTCATGGAATTTTTTGCACAATTTTTATTCCGATCGAAGTTGCCGTCTCACGAAGCTCGTAATTTGATCGATTTAATTTTGAACGATCCGACGCGAATGTTTCTCCAGGTCAAGGTTCTGTTATTATAAGGTACAGTGTTCCATGATGTTTCTCCAGTTATTTCGATCTCAAAAAAAAGAAGCAAGAAAAATCGTTCGTTTTTAATTTTCATACCAAGAGTATTTCACTTTTAATTTTCTCACGTTATGAATAGCAAAACCTTAATCCACTTTAATGGAAAATGCATTAAAAATCAAATTTTTTAACGTAGAAGTTAATTTTATTTGTTTCTCGTCTCGAATAACAGCATTAGCGGGGAATCTCCATTTTAAGCGACAGCTATCGATCACCACTTTCAAAGTATCCTTCCTCGAACACACTTATAAATATTCTATCCAAGAGAGGGATAGCAACTTCCATTACCTGACTTACAATCACTCTAATTTTCTGATCACTCCGCCACGTCGTAACCAAAAAATGAGCACCATAATTTTACAAACAGAATATTACCAAGGTAATATTACTAAAAATTGTCTAACAGTACAAAACGAAAGCTAGTCATACATCTTCTTTCCGTAATAGAAAGCAGATGGTTAACAACGATAGCAATAAGAAACACCGTCTAATTTTTAATTTAATTTAAAGTTAATTTTAAATTTATCTTGGAGTTTGCTGTTCCACCAATTTGGAATTTGCCATTATGCCAATTAATTTAATTTAAAGTTAATTTTCAATTTATTTTAGAACTTGCTATTTTGTTCATGCCACGTGTATGTACTTATCGTAAATTAAGTGTAAAGAATAAACTCGTAAAATCGACATTTATTTAAAAGAGCTTTGATAGCTCGTATCGAGTTGAACGTCTTGAATGTCTTTATTATCCTCGAGTTGTAACTTTGTCCCTTCTAGGGAGTTTCACGAAGTTTCTAGGTCTTTAGGATCCTTTATGTTTGTTTTATGTTTCTCCTTCCATGGATTCTATGTACTACTGAATTTCTTTACATAAAAAAATACACTGCGTGAAGGATCTTAATTTTCGACGAGGAATTATTCATATTCAATGTGATTTCTTTTTAAGAAAAGAATTGTACAAGATTCTGCCTGGACTCATTTTAACGTGAAAGAAATCGTACGTCAAGTTTTATGCGATCGTTGGAAAAAGGACAGGTTTTTAGTGTTTAACCTCTTGCGCATGTCAAGAATTTTTTGTCCCAAAAGTTGCAATATTTTCTCAGTTTTAGGTATATAAGTATAGAAGTATAACCCAGGCAAAACAAATGATAAATTTATTACTTCTCAATGATTTCTATTCAGTGATATCATACGATACCGACCAGTTCAAAGAGAAAGCGACGAGTTATTTTATACGGTTTGGTCGCTCGTTATGGTCCGCGATCAGTTGCCCAGCGCAAGTGGTTAAATACGCGGTGGATTTTGTCGCGAAGAAAATCCGAAATAATTTAAAAAAATTTATCCGCATTGAATCAAGTGTATCATCAACGTCTGCAATTAAAAAAGTATTGGTACATGTTTTAATACATGTATTAACAAAGTCCAGAAATGGTTTACTATGTACGAAAGTTATGCAATAGTTATATACAACAATAATACAAGTAATATAAAAGTTCGAGGATCAAAAATGTGTTGGCCTGGAAATTCAAACATTCGATCGTCAATGTTACCCCAATGTTAGCCGTGCTGTCTCTTCGCGATTTTTCAAACGACCGAGTAGAGTATTCATAGGTACGAGGTTGAAATGGGCACGATTATGGCCGTAAATCGTCAAGAAAACCGCGAGATCCGACCTGAATCATCGTTTCGGTATTACTCATTGTCAGTAGACAAGTTACAGAAAGAATCGCATGCTCACCTGTCTTGCGTGTCGGTAGATTGTAGCAGCTGTGGCAACGATTGGGTCTGCTGTAATCTCTGAGCTCGATTCTCCGGCGTGTGCGTCTCTTTCTTGGTCGGATCGTGCACTACAGACTCTGTAATCTCCTCGACGTGCCTCTTGTTCTCCATCTGTCACGGAGCAACAACGGAAATCACTGTTTGATCGTGTAGGCTGGATAATTAATATCAGAAGGACGAGTGGTTGGATATTATTTGTTCTGGAGTGATTACTTGACTCTGTTCGTTTTCTTTCTTGTAGAAGTTAAAGATAACACGTTAATCACCACGGCGATCATCGGTGATTGATGTTTCTATTCCTATGAATATTTTAGTTTTATTCTCTTTGTTTTTTTTAGTAAAAGCTAAACTAAAACGAATAGAAAATAAATGAATATGAAAATATTCCTATGAATATTTTAGTTTTAAAAATTCAATCGAAATGAATGTCGTCATCAAAAAATTTCACACTGATACAAATAATATTATGCATGTGTAACTAAATAACGAATAATAAATATAAATTACTGAATAATACTGATAATATAATATATATATGTAAATAATAACATTATATAACATAAAATATTTTGCAACGTAATATTTTATAAAATATATATATAATATTATAATGTATACATTATATAAAATAATTATATATATATTATATAACAATTTAATATTTCCTATAATAAGGATATGTATACATTATATAAAATAATTATATATATATATATTATATATATTATATAAAATAATTATATATATATTATATAATAATTTAATATTTCCTATAATAAGGATATGTATACATTATATAAAATAATTATATATATATATTATATATATATATTATATAAAATAATATTATATAACATAAAATATTTTGCAACGTAATATTTTATAAAAATTAAATATTCCATCCTGCAGGCAGAGCGTACAAGTTTCGAGTCAACGTGTTACAATTATTTCTATTTAATTTCATTTATACAACGTGTTACAATTATAAATTTATATAATTTCTGTATGTCCACGAGAATCTTCAAAATAATTTCAAAATACAATCTCGATGATTTTACATGGATTTTTAAATACGTATCTTCGAATCAAAGAATTCAAAGACCATTGTGCATCTTTTAGTTGCGAAAGTGCACAAGATTTTACGTACCGTAACAGGGTAAAGAGAGACCCGGTGTTCCGCAGAATCTGACGACAAATCGGTGATTTCCGGCTCCACGTGTCTCTCGTTCTCGGTCATGTTTCTGTTCCCTTTTCGGCCACAGAGGCCCAGCAAACAGTAGAAGACCACGCACAAGACTTACGAATTGTTTTTTTTTTTCACTCAACACGCGAGAAGATTCCTCAGTCGAACACTCGGTTTTCCACGTTCACCGATTTCCACGTGATTTGTCTCATTCTGACCCGTCAAATTGTCTTCCGAGGTTGTCAAGGTCCGAGGATAAACGAGACACTAGCGTGCCACAGGCGATAGATGAATCGATTGTTTGAATTAGCCGATTGAATCGAAGGTAATCTAAAATGGACAAACGTACATGGACTTTCGTTGGAAGAAGACTTTTCGTTTTCGAATGAAAAATTAGGAGAGAGCGCGTCGCGTTCAGACAGAGAGCAAGCTCGATGTGTTGGCGCTTATGTCAGTCAAATTGATCATATACAGAATGTGTTCGAACAGTTGCCGTTCGTGAAAGTGAACACTTACAGAAATTTTTTATTGTGCGTTATATGAAATATTGTGATTAACACTGTGGCGATTATATTGGTCAAGTTTGAAACAAATCAAAAAATATATTGAAAAATGCTTAAGTTCCAAATGTTTTTTGTCTTTTTGAGAATTGTAAGAACGAAAAAAATATATATATATAATATAAAATTAAAATAAAAATATATAAAAATAAAATATAAATATATAAATGTAAGAATAAAATAAAAATATATAAATATAAAAATAAAATTAAAATATATAAATTTTATATATATTTCCAAGTTGAAGTAAAGTGTCAAACTGACAACAGTTGTGTCTCATTATATTTACATTGCTAATGAAATTTTAAAATGTTTTAATGTTTTATGTAATTCACGTAATATATACACATATATACATACGTAAAAATTCTTCTATGTTGTGTTGAGATATTTTTGTGACTGACATACTAACAAATTAACAACTTGTTTATTTTCTATTCTTTAATTTCAGTTAATTACGTGTCAGGAGCAGTATTTTTGCGAAAGTTTCTCGTAAGCATTTTCTGACTGCTGATGTGATGGTTGCTCGTAAACGTTGTTTGCAACAAATCTACAATTTTCAAAACTCACAAAAATATTTCATAGTTCGCGAAACATTCATTAGAATGAGCTTTATGATTTTTTTCTTCAGTAAACATTAATTAAGTTCATTGTAATATGTTACACCGCGATACAGATGTAAATCACCGAAAGCATTATTTCATGATCTGTATTTAAAATTGAAAATTGAAATTCGCATTCCACGGTGATATTATAACAAAAAGGTTAATAAATTTTGAGTAATGCCCAAGGTCACCACTTCATAGTTTTATTGGAAACATTTTTCTCTATGGCGAATAGTTTAAGAGAATATTGATAATTTCATATGGGATACCCTATACATATATAAACTGCTAGCAGAGAGGAATTCAGCGGATATCTTATTACGAACTTCAGTTATATAAACTATTTGTTCCCCTGATAAATTCATACAAATGTAATTCTATTATACTTCGAGAATAGAAAAAGAAGTAGATGATAAATGTCAACAAGGATGTATTTTTACGAACGCGACGGGGATTTTCTCGAAATCGAGTTTTTCTTAGATGTAGTTTAGTTTGAAATGACCACTCAAGAGTGGTCGAAGTTTCCCCTAACCGTTGATAAGAAGTTTCGTGGGAAGGAGCCGATCGTTAGATAGTAGGATCCTTTTCGATCGTTCATCCGATAATCCCAATCTCGCAAAAATCTTGGAAGTCTCTTGGTTATTTTTATCACTCTTAGTCAATATTTTATGATAATGCATTCGTCTTTGTAATTTACGTCTTATAAAATTGATTCGATAAATTAAAATCTTACTTCGATTTTTATACTTTTATGGGAAATTTAAAGATTCAGGAATGCACAATAAAATGTATAATGTAAAATGTTTATATGTATATAGAAATGCATATATATTTATAATATATTTATTTATATATATTTTAAAATAATGTAAAATATTTTTATATATTTATATATATATATATATATATATTTTTATAAACATAACTAGAAATGAAATACTAAAATTTTAGATATTTTATACATTTGTTTATTTATATATTTCATATATGTGTGTAACACTTTATTTTATGTATATTTATAATATTATATTTTATATATCACATATTTTATGTATTTACATATTTTATATAATACATTTATCCTAAAGTCTACTTGTCTAAACCTTTCAAGACTTGCCAAGAGTTTCCAAACTTCCAAGATTTCAGAAAATTCTTGAAAATAACGAAAATAACTTATCGATACACGTTTTTGTCGAAACATCGTCAATTTCTGACCAGAAGAACTTATTTCGGTGAAACCATACTCCAAGGATGTCCAATATCCTCCCTAGATCGGCACGCATCGTTTGCACGGAAGTTAGGGCTCGTCCTGCGACGGCCATTCGATATGTCGTCAGAAGTCTTTCCTGTCTACTCTCAACAGAATCGAAGCGTGTCACATGTCATCCCCAATGTCTGTTTGCCCGATGATCGAAGCGTTGACCTTTGAAATTAATCTGATAATACCTCTGTTTAATGGAATTCCAAATATAGAACGTTAATAATAGAACGATAAATTGAAATGATAATGCACAGAAATTGCAGTAACGATGAAGCGAGAGTTCGATTTCGCGGTCGAAGTGGACAAATTCGGACAAGCTTACTCGAACCACTGTTTCGTGGATCACTTGTGTTTTTTTGAACTTGTGCTCGAGGATCGAAATTAACAAGTCACCTTTCGCCTTTAAAATGATTTCCTTCGAATTTATACACAAAACATTTGCTTTCGTGGAATTTTTGTAGAAGGTAACAAAAGTTCCACAGGAACGAGAGTTAGTTTAGAATATTTAGTTAAAAATCTAGTTTTATATTCATTATTCGTCGAATAATTTGCTATGCAAATTGAGCATTGAGTACTGTTTTAATGTCTACTGGTCACGAATTGTCTGTCTTTCCGAAAGGAAATTTTTTATTTTTATGTTTTACAAGTCCTATTCGGACTAAAATTTTTATAATATTATTTATAATATATTTATAATATATAATTATATATACATACATTATATATATAATATATTTATAATATTTTATATTATTTATAATTTTATATTATTATATATTATATAATATTATTTATAATTTTATATTAATATATATTATATATTATTTATAATTTTATATTATTTATGATATAATTTATTTTATAATATTATTTTATTATATTATTTTGTTTGTCTATTCTCGTCGGGACTTGTAACGTAAGAACATTTTCAACACTTCGAAGCAACAAATTCCGAAAAGATCTGTGTGTTTCAAACAGAATCCATTAAAAAAAAGTATCACTTTTCGATCTTTCTCGATCGCTGCTTGTGCTCGAAAAGAATCAAGTAGCCTCCGCATTTCGACGAGAGAACTCTTCAGGAACATTTGCGCCATAGTTATCCTTTATTCGAAACGGTCAAAGGCAAGCGTGGAACACGCTTCTTTGATTATCTCTTGATACCGTACATGTTTAAACGCGTATTTAAAGGAGATAATTAAAAAAAACCGCGAGAAAAGAATTCTTTGTCGCTCGCGGCCTTTAGAAATCTCTCGCTGGCGCCGTTCCGGAAGTGAGGAAAGTTTGTAAAAAGGAGCAGCGTGTTTCCACCGTTATGATCTGTCTGTAACGAGACAAAATGCAAACAAAAAGAAGAAAAACATCCTCTGTGGCGGCTAAAGTAAACCAATCATTCCTTTCAAAAAAAGAAAACCAACGGGATAATTTGGCCAGTTGGGAAAAGTTTCTTTGCAGCAGCAGTTCTCAATCTGGGGATACGCGAAAATAATATTGGCAATGACGAAAGAACACCAACGAAAAGGAGTTAAAACACAGAAACAAAGTTATGGGGTTTTGATTTGAAATGTCATTAGCTTAATCTGAGTCGTTTAATTATTAGCTAAAGAAATTAAAAAGAAAGAGAGTTGAAGTAAAAACGCAAAAACAAATCTAGAGTTTTGACTTGAAATGTTAAATTAGGTTAATTTGATTGTTAGTTAACCTAAGAAAATTAAAAAAAAAAGAAAAGAAAGGAGTTAAAATAAAAACGCGAAAAGAAAGTTACAGAGTTTTAATTTGAAATGTCATTAGGTTAATTTGAGTCGTTCGATTTACTTATTTAGCCAACCTAAGAAAATTAGAAAATAAAACAAACTCTTTAGAGGGAAGAGGGGGAACTCATAAGTGAAAAGCCTAATCAAGGAGCACGGGAGAGAAGATAGGTTGGGAACCGCCGCTTTCGAATATATTTTTCTGCTTGTCACTTTAGTTGTCGCTTTTAAACTGGCTGAAAACGTATCGACGATTCGCGCAAAGTTCTTGAGCACCTAAACTTAAATCGAGCCGGCGACAATTTGCTTCAAGGGTCGATGGTTTGGTTAACGAGCCAGAACTTTCGGAGTTTACTCGATGGTTTTCGTTTCAGTGTTCAATCATTTTTGAGGAGCAATCGGCTGAAAGTAAGCTAAATTTGCGAAACAAGAAAAGAAAAAAGAGCTGAGCAAAATTGGCAGATATTACGCAAAATTATTTACAGCCTTTGGCTTCAGAAAGAAAGTAAATGTTTTTTCCCCCTGTAAAATAATAAAAAATTCTACCGATTTACTAGTGAGGGATATAGTTGGACGAATAACCGATATTTTGAAATGTTATGGTTTTGCCAAAAACATTATAACAATTTATATATTATTTTTTGTTTTTATTACTTTGACGGTTTTGGATTCGTTTTCTTTAAAGGTGTACCGGGTGGGAAAGTAAATGCAGCTTTATTATCGAGAATTATAAAAATTCAAGCTTCTCTAAAAACATTGAAATCTTTTTTTGTTGACTGCCCTTGATCATGGTCTTGAATTTTCTTTTACAAAGATCCCTTAAAACTTGCTATACGATTTTTTTTTTTACCGATTTATTGAATTCGAACATTAAGATTATATGATAAAATTTAAGATTTTCTGAATTTTTATCGCTTAACCCTAACATTCAAAGTTCAATGAAATGACGAAGAATGGAACAAGTAATTTTCAAGAATAAAAGTTATAAAACATTTTTACATCCAAAAAAAAAAGAAAAAAAAATTAGGATCATCAAAGAAAAAGCTTTACGCTTTGAAACGAGTCCAAGTAGATTGTTACATAATTTTTCTTTTACAAAATCATTCTATCGTTATTCATTCAATTGCTGTATAAAAAGAATTTTCAATTTGGAAAC